ATTTCTTTAATATTTCTCTTATTTATATTTCTTTTATATTTCTTTAATTAAATTTGTTTCACGACGCTTCTTCGCCCACTTCTCTGCAATTATATCAAACGACGAATCGTGTCATGTTATTCTTTCTCTTCTTTTTTTTTTTTGTTTTCTTTATTATTATTTCTATATGCTCGTCTTTTGTACACGTGATAATAATAATAAACTATGCGACGCGTACCACCAGTGTACAAGCGTCCATAAATATAATGTAAATATTTAATATATATATGTATATATATATATAATTGTATATATGTAATATACTATATATGTATATCTATAACGTGTGTATATGTATATATGTATACGTATATATACATATATACGTAAGGTATACCGATAAATGTTATTACATACGATACAGCTAACAACACTTTACAAATGGGGTCACATAAAAAATAAAGAATCACGATTTTTCACGTTTATTGACTGTGTACGTACGCGCGTAATTTGTCCGGTGTGCTCACGAGACATCACTGACTTAACATGTTTATATTGTAATACCTATTTTTGGGTCTGAAATGATCCGAAACACGCTTTATTCGCTGATCCGTGTTGATGACACAACCCTCCTTCGTCCCACATCGTTTTAAACATCGTCTTCCGTCTAATCTCACCCTCTATGATTTACACAAAAATAACCTCCTCGTGTAACACATCCTCTTCTTTTCCTTCTGATTTCTTCTTCTTCTTCGTCTTTTTCTTCGTCTCTTTCTTCATTTATTCTCTACGAAAAATAAGCACGTCCGTTTGACAAAAGCACGCGGAACAACTAACAGTCTAATGGACTAGGACTCCCTGTTGTCAAAAGTTGCACGCAGCTGGAAAATTAGTTGTTACAATCGGATAACGGGGATCGGAGGTGTTGTACACGCGGAAACACTTGACGGTCGATCTACGAGAAAATAGAGTTCTTTCTTTTTTAAAATCTTTTTTTAAGTACAACAAGGACAGATCAAGTGTTCGTCGTCCTCCAATTGCGGACTCGATCGAATCGCAAGTTTAAGCGGACGAAATGTTCGCTGATCGAAAATAATCAGAGGATCACGACTTGTTGTTCCTTTCTCTCTGTGTATTTTTGCACATGTAGCATGCAACAAAACTCGAAGAAATGATTCGTAAAGAAAGAAATTAACAAATCTGCTAGGAAATCATTTCTCTCAATTTCCTTGATTATTATATGTTATAATCTTTTGTTATCGAATATTGTTTGAAGCAAAAGCATCGACAGATTTTTAAATGCTATATTTTCCATCGGAGAAATGAATATGATTCAATAGCAAAAGAAGAGAAAGACTCTCTCTTATATTTTACAATATAATTTATAAATTACAGAATTAAATTACTATGTCGAACAAACAGTTGATTCGTTTAGGCTGCATGTATCGGAAATCGGAAATAGAATCTAGAAAAACGTAACGTCGTAATTGGAAATTATGAAACGGTTGATGTTTGAAAAAAATTAATTTCTGTAATATAGTTTAATTACCGGCACTAAGAATATGAGTGAAACAAATTCGAGAAGAATGAAAGCCACTGATTTCTGAGTTCTAAAAGTTTCGAGAATACAAGAACTTAATAGAAATTTAATTTCTATGATAAATATTAATAATTTTATTGCACAGTGAATTATTCTGGAAGTAATTCTTTCTCAGTGCGTGATCCTATACTTACTTCGACTAGCATAATATTAATTGTTCACTGATATCTGCTCGCTCTGCTCGAAGTGTACGTCGCGTCGTCAAAGGGCAAAGGTCGTCCGGTAACTTTGTCATTTATCTCGAAATATGCAAACCGACATAATTCCCATCGTATTACTGAAACGTTCGCGAGTAATTATCGTAGTTCGTCCGTTTAAATTCATTCTTCGAATTCATCCTCCCACGAATTCTTCCGATCACATTACACTGTACTCGAATCTATGGATCTAGTATTTAACGACAAATAATACTCTTTATTATCGCATTATATACCTTTGACCCTCAACGATTTAACCCTTTAAGCGTTGAACCACATTTTATTGACTTTTCGTAAAATTTTTCAATCTTACTATCATTATCAGTAACAATAATTCCTAGTAGAAAGTCAATCAAATAGAGTAGATACTATATTTACAGGCTATTCATCTTTATTCCTTAGTCTGTGAAAATGGAAACAAAAGCGTCGAATCCCAACAAAAGTTAACCAGTCGGCTGAAATATAAAGTAGACACAATTCTTTTTTAATTATAGGGTGATATTCTTAAACGTATTTTAAATGGCGAATTCACATATTAAAATACATAGAAAAAATGTTACATGAATCTATGCCCCGCACACCATAGTTTTAAATTGTATCAAAAATAAAAGTTTAATTTTTACTTATTGAATTGATTGAATTTTTCGATGGATACCGTTGCAAATACACTGAATAAAGTTTAGGCATCCTACGATGTGCAGTGACAGGTATTGAGAAACGAAATGGACACATCGTACAATCATCTGTCTATTTCGAAAACTAACATACATACGTAGAACATAGATTCATGTGACATTTTTATTGTGTAGACACCGAAAGTATTAAAGTAAACGTGCTATTTAAGAATCAGCCTGTATGTGGATATATAAATTTCTTACAACTAACGATGATACGCGATAGTTTTCTCTTAATATCTCTTAATATCCCCTAGAGATTCTCAATCCCATTAAAAATTCTATTGCTACGATGGTAGCAACGCTGAAAGGATTAAAACGACAAAAAAAAATAGGGCAACAATCGCGGCGAACATCTTTAACAAAAATACTTTATTTCCCCGTCGACTGACGATTGTTGCGATCTCTCGTTTTTGGAGGACATCGACAAAGTGAACGCAGGAAGAAGGTGTAGCGCTAGTCATCCTCACTTTAGGAAGATAATACTGTCTAAAACCACGCCATTTTCATCCTCCTCTCTCTCTCTCTCTCTCTCTCTCTCTCTCTCTC